GATGTACAGTGCCATATGCTTCTGTCTTGTTAATTCTTTCATTGAATACAACAGCTATAGATGTTTGAATGCAAAATAGCCAAAAATGCTGATGTGGAAGGATGTCTAATTAGAGTCCCAATTTCTTCTCCCAATTTTCTCCAATTTTAGTAATTTTTTTTAATTAGGTTGTTAGCTCTGCTCTCGATGATGCAGAATTATGGGTGTAATTTTAGAGGAGGCGAAAAGCTGGGGTGATTCATATAGATATACAATGTGTGGTCTTGGGATGGTGGTTTGCAGTCTTCTTTTGATGTTCCTTCGCAGTTTCTTCGGAAAAGTTGCTGTTGGGACACTGGTCTTGTGACCAAGTAAGAAAAGCAGAAATAGATGTTGTGATATCCCCAATTAAAATACAAAACAGTCCTGTGATTAGGCACTACCCAATTCTATTTTTATTGAAAAGCTAACAAATCTAGGACCATTGATGTGCATTGGCAACCACCATTGTAGCATGCACTTCCTCTAAGGCAGGGATAGGCATCCTTCGGATCTCCCGATGTTGTTGACTACATTTCCTCTGATGCTTTGCCAGCATCATGGCTGTAAGAGCATTATGGGAGATGCAGTCCACAACAGCTGTAGTGGAAATGCTCTAAGACATTTAACGGGCAGCCATGATCAGTTAAGCTGTCATGACAAAGATCCTTTGGCAATGCTGAACTATCTTTTGGAGAAAAAGGTATGGTTTGTCTAACCATTTCAATACATAATAATGTTGATCACTCTGGTACTTCTATCGGCCTTCTGTATGGGGGAAAAATAAAGCAGGTCACACCCTACACAATCTCCGATTTTAAGTCAAAATTATTATTTCACTTACAGGACAAGGCTATAGCATAAAATTAAATACTGGAAAACGCTGCACCAAAAAATAAATTTGGCATAGGTTTGAAAATCTTTTAATAGTAATATATAAATGTGTATTTGGAAAATGCAGCAACTTTGGATGTATAGAAATCTTAACTTTCTAAACATAAGCGCAGTCCCAAAGAGAGAGAATGGAAATAAAAGTGATTACAACGGATACAATAATTAAAGCATAGCCTTATTTTAAATAGATTCCTCTCGTGGCTTCAGACCTTCTCTCCACTAAAACAGTTCTTATCTACGGATATTTATTTCTACCGACTGTTTTTGTTTCATACATATACAGGGAAAGGGAACCGCTGCGCATAGCACTGGAACAAAGGGAACAGATTCACTTACAAAAGAGGGACTTTGCACGTTAGCAGTCCACATAAATGGCTCTGTCCATCTTATACGACAAAGCTAATCTGCTGCCTGCATCGTTACAGTCTCTCTAAGACAATCTGTGCAATTCTCCAAACACAAAGCCTGCTCGCTCAACTGATCAAGTACTTGGTTACATTCAACACAAGGCTAATTCACTTACTTGCAACAAGTGGACTATTGATTTTCTCTCTCTCTCTCCTTTTTTTTTTTTCTTTTGCCTGTTTTCTTAAGAGCCGCAAGGCTTTCTGAACTGCAATGATAATATCCTCTATGTGCGAGAATACAGGGCAGCAGAGCTAATGCCTTCTAAAGAATCAACAACAAAAATACACAATTTCTTTACATTATTTTTATTTTTAAATAACTAAAGGCATTATAAAAAGGTATTTAGAATATTGTAAAGCGCTGAGGAATATGCTGACGCTATATAAATGACGATGATAATGATAATATTTAAGTTCAGTATTAAAGAGCTTTGTATGTATATGTATACAATACATAACATATACAGTCAGGTCCATAAATATTGGGACATCGACACAATTCTAATCTTTTGGGCTCTATACACCACCACAATGGATTTTAAATGAAATGACTTTCATCTTTAATTTGAGGGTATTTACATCCAAATCAGGTGAACGGTGTAGGAATTACAACAATTTGTATATGTGCCTCCCACTTTTCAAGGGACCAAAAGTAATGGGACAATTGGCTGCTCAGCTGTTCCATGGCCAGGTGTGTCTTATTCCCTCATTATCCCATTTACAAGGAGCAGATAAAAGGTCCAGAGTTAATTTCAAGTGTGCTATTTGCATTTGGAATCTGTTGCTGTCAACTCTCAATATGAGATCCAAAGAGCTGTCACTATCAATGAAGCAAGCCATCATTAGGCTGAAAAAACAAACCAAACCATCGGAGAGATAGCAAAAACATTAGGTGTGGCCAAATCAACTGTTTGGAACATCCTTAAAAAGAAAGAACACGGGGGCGTGGTTTGACGCTCGAGCTGCACGGTCGCATGCCGGAGTAGCTCCCGCCGCCCGGAACACACAGGGCACCGACTAAACGGTGTACCGAGCACCAGACAAGAGCAAGTACTCTCCCATATACTTACCATGTCCCAGAGGCTAAAAACGAAGCCCACGAAGGCAGACAAAGCAGCCTTCTTTATGGCTAAAACTGCGCCGCAAAAAACGCGGGAAGAGGCCGAACAAGATGGCGGCCCACAGAGATCGCGGGAGGGCTCGCCGACGTCCCCAGCCTCCCCAGACATAAGCACTGAGGAACAGCCCTCACAGTGGCTACTATGAGGAGCATGATGGCTGAACTCACAAACACTGTGCAGAGGGGTCTTAAGGCTCAAATGCTGGCAATGACGGCGGAAATCAGAAAAGACATACAGGACATAGGAAACCGCACTGCACACCTAGAATCCAAGATGGATGATTTCTCCATGGCCCATAATAGTGTGGCAGATAAAGTGCAAGAATTGGAAGACGCCGTTTCGGCTCAAAAGCTCAAAATAGCAGACCTGGAAGACAGATCCAGGAGGAATAACCTCAGATTTAGGGGAATACCAGAATCAGTAACGAATGCTGACTTAGAAAAATATCTACAAGACATGTTCCAGCAGATGACCCCCGAACTGCACCCAGACCAACTGCTACTAGACAGAGCGCATCGGCTCAGAAGACCCAGTCACCTACCCAACACGGCTGCGAGAGACGTCATAGCAAGAGTGCACTTCTTTCATGCCAAAGAAAAAATTATCAAGGCAAGCAGGAACAGAGGAATGCCAGAGAGATTCGCTAATATAAAAATCTTTTCCGATCTCTCGGCAGAGACCCTACAATACCGCAAATCCGTGGCACAAGTCACATTGTCACTGCAAAACCAGGGACTAAACTACAGGTGGGGATATCCGGCTAAGCTGCTAATATATCACCAAGATTCCCTCCACTCCATCACATCAGCGCCGCAAGGAATAAAGCTGCTTAGAGACTGGGGTATCCCGTTGGCCGAATTGCCAAACTCGGGCCTGACGAAATCTCCCCGCCTGGCCCAAGACTGGGCATCCCGTTAAAGGAACTCCACACTTGAGCGGTATACGTAAGACGCACAATCAAGTTACCCGTTATGTTGTTATACTTATTGTTATGTAATCTTATGCTTTCTTAACCTATTGTTTCACTTGAGACATGCATGGGTGATCACCGGGGGCCCCCCGACCTCCTCCCACTCAGACCCGACAGGCACACAACGAGAAGTATTCTCGGTTAGAGCATGACACTGCCCAATCACCACGGGTAGGGGAGTCGGGACACCGGAGACCCACAGGTTGTTGAAGAAGAAACACAAAAAAAAAAAAAAAGTAACAGTAACACAAGTTAACCGCATCAGCACCCATTGTGCCCCAGGGTGTGTGTGAGTGCGGACTGAAAGGGACATATACCTCAACGGGAAGTCCCAAGTTCACCAACCCCCTAAACTGCGGCCGCCCCAGCGGCGCCGCAAAACGGCTCGACCCAGAGGAGCCACATAGGACCTTGCCCTCCTCCCCCCCCCTTTTTATTCCCTCAACCACGAAGTGCACTACACTAGGCCAACAGTCAAGGTTGACCATACACCGTCCCCTTCCTGCCTCCATATCTTCTCTTGTAATAGGCACTCACACTGAACTGTTACACAACGACACGTACGGAAATACTGCCCACGAGAAAAAGGGTGTAATCCTACCTACACGGATATCAAAACTAGTTTTACCTGACAAAAACTCACCAAAATGAGAATAGTGTCATACAACGTTAGAGGGCTAAATTCCCCTGGAAAACGCAGATTGCTCTTACACGAACTCAAGAAAAACGCAGTAGACATAGCTTGCATCCAAGAAACGCACTTTAGACACCCCATAGCCCCATCACTCTTTACAAAACTGTACCCTATACAGTATCATGCCCTATCAGACGCAAAGACAAAAGGGGTTTCCGTCTTAATACATAAGGACGTCGCCTTTACTATGCAAAACAGCTACATAGACCCTAAAGGGAGATATATCATAGTGATAGAGCTCTTCAACAATGTACAATACACCATAAGCTCAGCGTACTTCCCGAACGACAATCAAAACTCCTTCCTCAAATCACTCTTGTCCAAACTGGATACATGTAAACAAGGGGGGCTCATATTAGGAGGAGACTTCAAATTCATCCAATCCCCGACCCTTGATACCACCGCCTCGCCGCAGGGAAAACACAAAAAAGGGACTCAAGCCCTCTGCAAAACCCTCACCAACACATTGACTCTGTACAACTTATATGACAGCTGGAGGACGTTACACCCTACAGACCGGGACTACACTTTCTACTCCAGGGTTCACAACTCCTATACACATATAGACACATTCTTCTTAGATAACAAGACCCTACCACAACTGACAAACTGTAAAATAGGAGAGTTAACATGGTCGGATCATAGCCCGATCTATCTTGACCTAGAGGACACGTACCAACCCCGGGGCAGGGGCACATGGAGACTCAACGAGTCTCTCCTCCTAGACAAACCATTCGTAGAACGTATGAGGACAGAACTTAGCGAATATTTCCTGGCAAACTCAACAGGAGAGGTCTCAGACTGCACAGTATGGTCCGCACACAAAGCGGTGATGAGGGGCCAGTTCATTAAACAAGCAGCGTTCATAAAGAAACGCCACCAGACCACCCTCCTAGACTGCCACAAACAAATAGCGATCACCACAGCACAGAATAAAAAGACGCCCACGTCGGCCTTAGCAGACAAGTTAAGAGACCTATACCGAGATCTCACGGAACTCAATGCCCAAAAGACCCAATATTTCCTACACAGACTGAGGGCCAACACGTACCACCACAGTGGCAAGGCATCCAAATACCTGGCCAATAGACTCAGAACCAGACAGGCCGCCAATAGAATCCCATATCTCATAGGACACACAGGAGATAAGCTCATGAACCCCGCGGACATAGTGCAGGAATTTGCACACTTCTACAAACAGCTATACAACCTAGATTCAAGTGGAGGCGCAAAAGCCCCGGGAACACACTCTATTCGTAGATACTTACAAGATATAGAACTCCCTAAAATAGATCAGAACTCAGTGAACGCCCTGCTGGAACCGATCACCATACAGGAGATCCGGGGGGTAATTAAGACTCTGCCCCTGGGCAAATCCCCGGGCGCAGATGGCTTCTCGAACGCTTATTATAAAACGTTCATAGATACACTAACACCTCACCTGCTAAAAGTTTACCGCAAGGCAGCAGAAACAGGAGCCCTCCCATCCGAAATGCTAGTGGCCACAATAGTCACACTCCCAAAACCAGATAAACCTACAGATAACTGCAAAAACTTTCGACCTATTTCCCTTCTCAACACCGATGCGAAGATATACGCTAAGATCTTAGCCAATAGATTGGAACATATTCTTCCAACCATCATAGGGGATGACCAAACGGGATTCATCAAGAGCAGGCAGGGCAGGGACAATACTAGAAAGCTCTCCTTGGTTCTGGATAAACTGAGGGGATCAGGACAGGGCGGGCTTCTATTAGCCTTAGATGCCGAAAAGGCGTTTGACCGTCTAAACTGGTCATTCCTTGAACACACGCTTCTACAATATGATATCCCCACCAAATTTATTAAACAGATCTTCGCCCTATACACAGGTCCCACGGCCCGGGTGCTGCAAGCCGGCTTCCTCTCGGATCCATTCCCCCTAACGAATGGTACACGACAGGGGTGCCCTCTATCACCACTATTGTATGTCCTGGCCCCCCTCATTTTGGACCTCATCAGAGAATATGGCACGATGTCATATTACTCTCTCAATGCCAACAAGACGCAGGCGCTGGGAATACGGCTTAGCCAAAAAACCCTGACTGCCCTCAAGGAGACCCACCTTTTCGAATGGAGAACAGACACAATAAAATACCTAGGACTAACCTTCACAAAAAAACCCAAGTAAACACTTTCGGCCAATTATGTTAAAGTATGGGGGGAATGTCGCCAACTAATGAAAAATGGGGCACACTGTTCCTGACCTGGACAGAGAGAGTAGCAACCGTCAAGATGTCCATAATCCCTAGACTCCAATACTTATTTCGCAATTTACCGATACAGGTAGCCGCCTCTTACCTCAGAGAAACACAGAAGGACATTAACAAGTTCGTGTGGGGGGGCCAAAAGGCCGGGTACGGGACACACTACTACGAGCACCAGCGAGACAAGGAGGCCTCGCATTGCCAGACATTAAGTCGTACTACCAAGCAGCTGCACTAGCAGCACTCCTTCCCCACTTCACAAACACGACTGCACCGCAGTGGGTACGACTAGAGAAAATAGCTATTAAGCCCTTTGACATACCCACATTAATGTGGCTCCCGACTCAGTTCAGGCCAGCAGTGTCACAGCTACCAACACAGGTCAAAACAGCATTGAAGGTCTGGGACAAGGTTAGGCATAAACTGACAACCCCTACTCCACTATCTCCAGCCACCCCGCTTAACACTATCACGTATTGTATCCCAACATTTAATGCCAGGCCGTGGATAACCAACGGGGTCACGCACCTGCACCAATTGCTCACATCCAATAAGCTCAAACCCTTCCCGACCTTACAGGAAGAATACCATAAACCAGCGGCCTCACAATTCTCCCACATGCAACTAAGATCGTTCCTCCATAAGCATACAGATAAAACCCCCACCACAGATGGAAGTCCCCCCAGTATGACAGCATGGGAACAAAAGACCACCAAAGGTGCATGGACACCAGCGTTTAAACCACTCTCCTGGTGTTACCAGCTTCTCAGACCCGCACAACACTTTGCAGACTCTAACCCAGCCAGGCAATGGGCACAGGACCTACAAGGCCACATAAGCAAGGACCACTGGGAACGTGCCATAGTAGCAACTGCAAAACTAGTCAAGTCAGAGACCCTCCTGGAACAGTACAGGAACACACTATATAGGTGGTACATGGTACCAACTCGGCTACATAAGCTATACCCGGGCTCCCCCCCCAGAGTGCTGGAGATGTGGGAAAGAGGAGGGAACAGTACTACACACCTGGTGGCAATGCGACCAGCTAACCAGCTTCTGGCAAGAAATTGGCTGCCTGATCCGAGACACTACACAAGTTAAGCTCCCATACACACCCCTAGCATACCTTCTGCTACACATGCCAGACAACACACCTAAAGAGGTGCAGAAATTAACCTTTCACATCCTCTTGACAGCCCAGAGAGACTATGGAAGAAACGTAGACCACCACGGGTAGAAGAGGTGTGCAGGGACATCGACACACAACAAATTTACGAATCCCGATATAGAGGGGTTCTCCCCATGACAGATACGGCCATGGTAGCATGGAGGTTATGGGAGGAGAGAACCCAGACAACCAAACCACCAGACACAATAAGCCCCAAATGACAACCTCTAGACAAGGATAGATAACCGAGCGAGAAGTAACAGAACCTCCAGAGTAGACAAAAACCTGCTGATTGTAGGAAGACACAGGGTGTACGTAGGTATGAGACACAATTAATGAATCCTAATAACGGTGACTGTAGACCCTGAGGTACAGATATGATATGGACCCCCTCCCAACCCCTCCCCCTTCCGTTCTGGAACCCCCTCCCTACCCAACAGTTTCATGCTTTCGGTCTTACACCTAAGTAGAGGACATTTCCAAGCCAAATTTGATAAAAGGTTCTAGAATGAAAAAGTTACAAACTGTTAACAATACTAAAAGTGGAGACCTGTCAATGTAAGCACTACCGTTTGTACCCCCTCCCCCTTTTTTATTTCTGTACCCCCCTTATACTGTTTTGAAATATGTCAAAATAAAAAATTGTCAAATTGAAAAAAAAGAAAGAACACACCGGTGAGCTCAGCAACACCAAAAGACCCGGAAGACCATAGGAAACAACTGTGGTGGATGACCGAAGAATTCTTTCCCTGGTGAAGAAAACACCCTTCACAACAGTTGGCCAGATCAAGAACACTCTCCAGGAGGTACGTGTATGTGTGTCAAAGTCAACCATCAAGAGAAGACTTCACCAGAGTGAATACAGAGGGTTCACCACAAGATGTAAACCATTGGTGAGCCTCAAAAACAGGAAGGCCAGATTAGAGTTTGCCAAACAACATCTAAAAAAGCCTTCGCGGTTCTGGAACAACTTCCTATGGACAGATGAGACCAAGATCAACTTGTACCAGAGTGATGGGAAGAGAAGAGTATGGAGAAGGAAAGGAACTGCTCATGATCCAAAGCATACCACCTCATCAGTGAAGCATGGTGGTGGCAGTGTCATGGCGTGGGCATGTATGGCTGCCAATGAAACTGGTTCTCTAGTATTTATTGATGATTTGACTGCTGACAAGCAGCAGGATGAATTCTGAAGTGTTTCGGGCAATATTATCTGCTCATATTCAGTCAAATGCTTCAGAACTCATTGGACGGCGCTTCACAGTGCAGATGGACAATGACCGAAGCATACTGCAAAAGCAACCAAAGAGTTTTTTAAGGGAAAGAAGTGGAAGGTTATGCAATGGCCAAGTCAATCACCTGACCTGAATTTGATTGAGCATGCATTTCACTTGATGAAGACAAAACTGAATTTTTGACTACAAAGGATTTGCAACCATGTATTAAAAAGTGAAAGTTTGATTTATGACTGTTAATCTGTCCCATTACTTTTGGTCCCTTAAAAAGTAGGAGGCAAATATACAAACTGTTGTAATTCCTACACCGTTCACCTGATTTGGATGTAAATACCCTCAAATTAAAGCTGAAAGTCTGCAGTTAAAGCACATCTTGTTTGTTTCATTTAAAATGCATTGTGTTGGTGTATACAGCCAAAAAGATTAGAATTGTGTCGATGTCTCAATATTTATGGACCTGACTGTACGAACTTTGCAGACCTGACAACATTCCAAAAGAACACAGAGGGGCACTATAATTTTAGGTGGGTGAATATAAGTGAGGTCAGAGTCTGGGCTGTTCTGAGAAATTTTAAATGACTTATTAAAAACAATCTTTTCAACTAAAATGTAATTTAGAACAAGAACAATACATCTTATTTACACAGACTGATTTCTAAACACATTTAGTGCAGTTTATAGTGGCGTCGCTTGTGGAGATCCAATGGTCGCGGGAAGGTAAACATAAGATTTAGTTACCTGAACCTTGCGAGTGCGACCATCTTGTTCCAGCTTAAGCGCCAGGAGTGGATGTCACTGCTGTCCTCTTGCGCATGTGCGAGAGTACAGCATTGAGGTCTATGGTGGATCCTGCAAAGACGTGGGAGCCTCGGTAGACAAAGCCAATTCCCTGCAGCCGTCACTGCAGCCAGAGTCTAAGAAAGTCAGGCAGAGGAAATAAACAGAGACAAAGTATGTTTATATCTTGACTGGGTTGGAATTTCCATGAAATTCCAACATGGTCAAAATGAGGGAACATGTTTGGAAGTCAGTCTGTGTATATAAGATACATTTATCTTGTCCTAAATTTTAGTTGTATAAATTGCTATTAATAAGTCACTGAAGAGCCCCGCTGCCCCTGGTCACAACACTCATACCCTAAAATGAATGTTTCTCTCTTTGGAAAGTTGGGAGGTATACACTAGGGTATCTTGTACCTACTGGTAACATTAATCTGGACCGATCTGTTTTGAACTAGTGTTGTACATTTTACAAACAAACCTCTTATTATTCCCAATTTTTTTATCAGTATATTTCAAACGTACTTTGAGTTCTACAAAAGAAAGACAATAGAGACCTTCCAAGCATCGCCTTCAAAAACATATCAATTAATCGGGGAAAGCGAAAGAAAATAAATCTTGAACAATTTATGCCTTGCACGGTCATCTCTCAGCAGTGAATGGGTTAAGACTTGCACAACCTCCGAACACTTTCCAATAAAACAGCCACCAGTCTAGAATTTGTAGAAATGGAATGTGACCCTGTATGTTCACTCCAATCCAGCTTCTAAGTTGTAATGTTAACTGAACCATAGGGTTTCACATTGTATCTGACCTGACCTGACCGTGGCAAGCTACTAAGCTGACAAGTGTAAGATGAATGAGCAAGAAGGAGCCAAAAAATATCCACCTCACACAAATCTTCACATCAACAAAAAATGGCCAGAAAAATGCAGAGTCTGAAACATGGTGGGTGCTAATTAGTTCCTGGAAGGGTGGTCAAGCAGTAGCATCAGATTAGCAGATCTGATCACCGGATGGCAAAAAAATAAATAAGTCTACATCTGTATAGAATGTGTGGCGTCAGGACTGCAGGGAGACCTCGCAGTGCGATTGACCATGTGAGTGCTTTCAATGAATGTCTGTGAGGTGGGGTGGCTGTGTTGCACGTCCGTGAGATAGCTGCAATGATTTTAATGGAGAAATGGGGATTCACTCAGCATGTGGGAGACATTTGCACTGATTTCTACGTCACAATTTTCGAGTATGATGCACTTGTAAGCTCTGTGCAATGGTTTATATAGATAGTGCAGCTGTACAGCGTATTTGCACCTGTGATAAAGTCGTAACTATATGAGGAACCTTTGCCCAACTAAGCAGATTGTATTGATTTGTATGTGGAAGTGTAGCTGGCGCATGCATATCCATGAGCCAGTTCCATTGATGTCTATGGGGACAAATGTAGTTTTACTCTGTATATGTGACCAAGAGCATCATGGAAAGGCTATCAAAACTCAAAGATTCTTGTGTGGATAGTCCTATGTAAAAGGAGCATGTAAAGTATGTAACCAACAGATAGAGGACACTGGTGTCATGAGGAGTGACATCAAATCACAGCATCACCTGCACAGCATGACACACCTCACAACACTCCAAATGGACAAATAGGGCACTAATTTTAGATGTGTGAGTGGGGGTGTGGTCATGGGCAGGGCTGTTCTGATAAAGTTTAGGGGAATTACTAATAACCTTTGTAACTAAAATGTCTTATTTACACAGACTGATTTTTAAACACATGTATTGTAGTTTAAATACAAATTATTGTGAGTATTATTGCTGGGAAGCTCTGTTATCCACTCAGACACATCAACAAATTGTAGCTCCTAGAAAAGAGGGACTTTAGGATAGAAACGAGTCAGTGGGATCTGGACATAAAATAGGGACTGTCCCTCGTAAATAGGGAAACGTGGCTGGTATGCAACAATGGTCACCAGTGTGTGTTCGAAATGCCATTAGCAATGGCAGTCTCTTGTAAACACGTCCAGGGACACACTCATCATGGTACAGGAGCCTGGTCAGCCCCAGATATTGCAGTCTACTATTAAATATCCTAAAGTGCTAGTCCAGGCCTGGAAAACAATGAGCAAAGCACACAGTGCTAGGGTACCAAAGAAAAAAGACCCTACACAAATCCTGACACCTGCAGCACTGTACTAAAAGACATCTCAGTGCATCTAATGTCATTATAACCTGCAGAAGAATAGTAAAAGACAGTAGAAAATGTGTCATCATGTATAAAGTAAATAAAGCCACACGTGTCCACATATCTTTCTCCGTAAAGGGATATAGATCATTCCAACTTCCACTATCTCCTTCCTATGCTATCAGTCTATTTCTATTCATATCATACGTCCAACTGTTGAAAAAACAGCCAATGATTTCCCTAAAGGAATGGCTATTAATTGGTTATATAGCTGTTACTTTGAGTTTCTATTGAGATGTCGAGTGCCCATTTTCTATGGCACAGGATGAAAAGTATTATTCCGTGAAGTAATGAGAACGCCTCCCAAGTGGGAAAGATACATTCAAAGGGTCTGTAACTGAGAATGCTGTTTACTCAGGAGCAAGAGAGTTTGTTCAGAGGA